CAATAAAAAAAATCCTGACAGAACTATCATACAGACTGAATCTTATACTGATTATTTACCTCAAAATATCCATGATCATAATACGAGTATGGAATTAAATTTTGTGTCTTTAACAAGTCTTTAAAAAATCCCAACTATGTCTATTGAACGAGCCTCATCGAGCAGCGAATGTTTAAAATACACAAGAGTTTTGTTGTGTACCATTTCACGTGTATTTTGGCATAAATGTCATGGCAACAGTGCCATTAACTTTAGTTAAATTTCGATTTTTTTCTTTTTCTACAACAACTCAAATATGCAACTGTAAAAAGAGAAACTAGACAATTGCTGCACTAAAAACAACCGTATGATAGCTGCGCACTTAACCCTGAATCTATAGACTATTTAAAGGCTAATGCAATAAGTATTAGTCTCTTAGTCGATAACGTAATAACAGATATGATGATGTCATTATAACGATCATGATCTAATCGGCGCTTTTGCTATTTTCTTATGAAAAACGTAAATCACGAGGTAATATTTCCGTCTCAAACTGAACCCGAGTCTAACAGTAGCTAAATGAAATATTTGGGAATATGTTTGAAATACATGGATGAGTTTGACTCGCTCTTACTGCACGTGTGGAAATAATCGTGCGCATTTTCAAGGCCGTGTTAACGAGCGCGGTCACGCCGGGAATGCGCGTTGGTGTGGCGGTGAGATATGGAGGGGAGAAGCTGGCTATAAATAAACAAAGCACTGAGCCTACGTGTGTGTGTGTGTGTGTGTACAGGTTTCTTTAGTTCTTGATGCTCTTTTTAAGACCTAAACACGCCATTTATTCCAAGAGTAATATGCACCGCGCGTGCTGCAGTTTGCATAAAATGGGCCAAACTAAAGGCCTAATGAACCTGTTCATTTGTTGGTGTGTTTATTGAGCTGTTGTCGGAGTTAGAAAGTACAAAATGCTATTATTCACAACAGTATTTAAGCCTCCAGCTTACCTCCCCGGCTCCTTCGCCAAAATCAGCATGAACATCGGGCCTCTGCTGGCTTGTTGGTCACGTATCCGCCGTTTGTTGGCGTAAATTTAATGTAAATCTCTGGACATTAGGAGAAATTCCTTGTCTATATACTTTTGGTATATCAGATCAAAATCTGCCTCTTTCTCTTCCTCTTGGCGTTTTTTTATTTAAATGTGGTAGGTTATTTATAATTCCGTCACATTTACAGAGGCGAACATTTGTTTAAAACAAAATTTAGATTGTAGTCGATGCCAGGCCTCCTGACTTAACCTGACACTGTCAAAAAAAACTTTTAAGCGAATATTTTTGCTCCCTTACCAGCGTTGGAACCAATAAAAACGCATGTAAACAGATGTACTTAAAACAAAACAAAAAAAGACAGGAATAAAAGGGGCAGAATTTAGTAACAGCACAAAACGGATTTTCCTCTTTTTTCCAGTTTAACAGGAATGTGTTCACAATCGTAATCTCAACATTGTTTAAGTAGTAATTTAAACCGGTTTAAGTTTATTTTGAAAATCTTCACTCGTGAACAAAAGTTCTGTATGAATTGGATTTTTTTTCATAAAGACGGCCTTATTTATGTAGTTTAGATTTTATTTTTAAGTTAAATGTTTTGTTTTTTTTAGAAGAAACTAAAATTACTGTATTGGCTGGCTGATCGTTAACAGAGTGCACATTATTTTCCCATCGTTTTCATGAAATACATACTATTTAATAATAATAATAATAATAATAATAATAATAATAATAATAATATTTCGATTGGTATTGTTGATTTTTGAAACAGCTGTTTCGTGAAACTGATGTCGTTGCTTCCAGAGCACTGTAACTATTATTATCACATTATAGTAACTTTGTTATCATACTGTGTTTCGTCGCAACAGTATATTTAGGAATACAAAAACATGCGATATTTATTTATGAAATTATTTTTTAATATTATCTGATGCTGGTGTGATATTCTTCATAATAATATTTTCCCACAGAAATTTTTCTGCACATTTTAGTGACCTTTTTGTTTTTATTCGACGGGTTTTTAATTTTTTTTTAATGTATTTATTCATTTTTATTTCCCCCCTTCTATCCGGCAGCTCCACACGTCATTTAACATTACTGCGTTTTGCATATAAGTCAGGCTACAAGATTAAATAAATAAATAATTAAAAATTTTGTATTATTTACGCAGTTTAAACTAAGTTTGGCAGCTTGCCCTGCTAGTTTTGTTAAGTGTTTTAGTTTTTCATCTCCCGAGGCTGATAGGATAAACTGTTCAAAATGAAATAAAATAAAATAAATAATATATTAAAAAAAATTAAACAGGATGTAAGCTTTAAGCATCAGCACATATTAACGTGTGGCCATTTTCTAAAGTAGCTTTTAAAAAATAAATAAATAAATACATTTTAATATAAATCACAGGTTATAGCGGCAGGCTTCGCCTCCATACATGAAACGCTGTCGGTGCCGCTATAATAGGCTCAAGCTGTTGCTTTGATTTATCATCCTTCCCTTTAGTCTCCAGTTTGTGAGATATGGGACGAAGGTAATTAATTTGGGAAACAAACAAAAATACTTTTAACAGCATTTCGTTTTAATGGACTTAATATTCAGCCCACTTGTGATTGACTATATCCTTTAGTCAAGTTCAAAGCATTATCCTTAATTACCCGGTCACATGCAGGTGCGGGGTTACCTGATGGCTTTTAACGACTTTGAGAAGACTTCAGCCAATCAGAGCCCTGCGCATTTGTAACTTTATCTAAAGGACAGATTTTGAAGGTGGGCGTAACCCGCTGCACCAAGTAGCCTCAGCTGTTTATTAAAAACCTTTGACATAATTACCTGTGAGCTTTGAAGGGACCCGTGGAAGGGTAGAAGTGCCTGAACAGGGGAGTCTGGGTAATACATTGTTAACAGTTATTTAGCGCCTGCTAATGGGCACGTGGAACACTGCCAGGCATTTTATGGCGGAAGTGGCATGAGAGCAGGGAAGGTGTGTGAGTTTCTTTCTGTGTGCGTGTGGGGAGAGACCTCCATACGAGGCAGCGGTAACGCAGTGCGTTTTATAGGCTTCGGGAGTGATAGCTTTCCACAGTTTTGTAATGTGTCACACTGATCTTTCCAGAGGACATGGCGTTTTAGTGCTACAGCTGATCTGAGCAAAAAGACAGACATCACACATGCAGTGGTGTAGATGGATGTAGTTATACGGGGAGAAGTGCAACATTCATCTTCAGCCATCTGTTTCCCTCCAGAATCGAGGGTCCCTGCTACACATCCGGCATGTCCTGGGGAGGCAGACCCTAGTCCGAGAACTGCTGGATCCTCTGCACGGCTCCACTAAGAGCAGCCACGACTTGAACTCCGTGCCTATCTGCAGTTGAAGCAACACTGCAAAGTAAACGAGCGGGGCCCCTCCGAGCGTATCCTGCTTATGCTGGCCCAGAATCACTCGTCATCCAAGTGAAGTGACCCCCGCGTTCTTTCATAAAGTTAACCTTCCATTCAAAATGTGGTATTTACTGACACACTTGATAGAAGTTGACGGATCTATGACATTTATTGATTTTCTTTTTACGAGCCGGTTCTGGTCTCGACGCCGTTTATTCAGGCCTCCGTGCGCCTCGGATGCTATTCTAGTTGAACTCCTGCTCTGGCTGCAATAGCTTGTCTCATTTGCACAAGCGCAACAGACACACAAAGACAGAAAGAGAGAGAGACAGATGGCTCTGTGCACCTACAGCCCGAAGCAGCGGGAGTCCTCCTCTTATTCAGAGATAAAAAATGCTTTGCTCAGCTTACTAGGCTGCTGCTACACACATCACATTATTGTTTTCATGCTATCAAACTGAAACTTCTTTAGTATAATTATCTCACTGTCTACAGATAAAACGAAAGAAGAGGGTTCAGCAGAAGAATTTACTATTGGAATTAAGAAAAAAAGGAGTGTTTAGAGCAGGGAGGTGAGAGGAAGCAAAACTGGAACAACGATAAAAATTGTAACTAAAATTGTCTTTAGATACAAGCTGACACTCACAGGTGGTTTGCTGACCTGGTTTGCCCTTCTTTAGATGAATTACGACTCATTGCTAGCTTTTGTCATCATTTCTAGCTGATGATGGTAAATTCTGTCTCGATGGATTGAGAACAGAAGACTGCAACAACAACAACAACAACAATCTTTATTTATAGAGCACATTTAAAAACCAGCGGTATACCAAAGTGCTTAACATAAGAGACAGAGAAGTAACACGAGTATTATAA